TGAGATAGATTTATCTTCCTTAGCATTCTCAGGAAGTACAGCCTTCTTCACAAGCAGGTTAGCATTCATGGTCCATGAGAGGTCCTCTGAGATATAAATGCCCAGAAATTTAAAGCTACCAACCTTATCCATCGCCTCTCAGTTTATGTACAATGGTAAATGTACATCTCTCTTCTTCCTGAAGTCAATTATAAGTTATTTATGTTTTTTGGTGTTAAGTGTAAGATTATTTTCTTTACATTACAATGTCAGCCCTTGTACTTCCTTCCTATAAGCAGACTCATTGTTCTTTTCATTGAGCCCCACCACTGTTGTATCATCCGCAAATTTAATAATTGTGTTGGTGTTATACAATGGGGTACAGTCATGTATGTATAAAGAATAAAGGAAGGGACTTAGCACACAATCCTGGGTAGAGTAGAAGAATGGTGAGATCCCATCCTTACTGACTATGGCCTATCTGTCGGAAAATCCTTTATCCACAAACAAATCCTCTGATTCATACCCAAATTGGACATTTTAAGAAACAACCTGTTGGGTAAAATGGTATTAAAGGCAGAGCTACAATCCACAAATAACAACCTGTTCCCTGTTGTTCCAAATGGTTTAATACAGTATGAACAACAATAGACATAGCATCGTTAGTTGATCTATTAGGAGCCAATGAAGGGATTAGCTCCTCAGAACTTTTTTCTGGACTAAAAGACAAGGATCACCCATATTGGCTCCTTCTGAAGAGATTGCAAAACAGCATTTTCCAACAGATTGAGAGGTCTGAAAGAGTGAGGATCTTTTAAAGAGGCACTATATTTGCTGACTTTCTGTCTTAATTACTTCAGGGCTCTTATTGTTGATTTCTGTGGAATTAAGATGTTTTCAAAAGACAAGTTGTATTACAAGCCAATGTGCCAAAATATGCAAATTGTATGACCAAAGAATGGTTAGAACAGAAGAGAGTTAATTATAGCATGTATTCTATTTACTGCTTCCTTTAATACTTTCAGTTTGACATGGATGATGCACCTATTACAATTGGCCATAGAGTTCCTCAGTATTTTCCACCATTATATCTATACTTATCCATTATCTTGTATAAGATTAATGTTTATGTACTTCCCTTGATTCTAATTTCAGTCTTTTATTGGATGCAGTATTTTTGTTACTTCATACTTTCATTTTGGCTTACGGCAGCGATGGCGTACCTTTTTTGGCTCGCGTGCCATAAGTGGGGGAGCGCAGGGGGGGAATCATGTGCGGGCGTGCTGCACCCATAATCCAATGCGCGAAATCCCCCCCAGTGCGCATGCACGCACTACAGGCGCGACCCCCCATTTTTTGTATGCTTTTTTCGCCTTCCCCAGGCTCCAGAGGCTTTATAGGAGCCTGGGGAGGGCAAAAATAGCCTCCCCCCGGAAGCCCTCCAGAGGCTTCAGGGACCTTCAGCTTCCTGTTTGCTTGGAGGGTTGTTTGAGCCCTCTGAAGGCTGTTCCTGAACTTCCGGTTTGCCTGTAGGGCCATTTTTTTGCACTCCGGAGGCTTAGGGAACCTCATGAAGCCTCCGGAGAGCCTTCAGTGGGGGCTCTTTTCGCCCTCTCCAGGCTCCTATAAAGCCTCTGGAGCCTGGGGAGGCAAAAAATGGCTTTAAAAAGGGGTGAACTCAGCTGGCCAGCATGCATGCTGGCCAGCTCACAGGGCAGCGCTTCGCGTGCCCTGACAAATGGCTCTGCGTGCCATAGGTTCACCATCACTGGCTTATGGTATACCTAGAAGTCATCTGAGCTAATATAGCCAGTTCTAGTCCATTTAAATGGACTTTAAGAGAGCTAATTTCAATAAATTTAGAGAGAGCTTGGAAAAAATTCCATGGATGAGAATCCTCAAGGGGGGAAAACAACTCAAGAAATTTTGAAAAATGAGATTACAAAAAAGCCTAGTCTAGTACAATATCAGTGAAGAAGAAAAATAACAGCTCCCAAAAGAAACCAGCATGGTTGCATAAAGACCTCTTTGACAAATTAAAAGACAAAAAAGGTAAGTATAAAAAGTGGAAAGAGGGGGACATAACTAAGGCAGAATATCAGCAAATAGACCAAGCTTTTTTGTAATCT